GTCCCATGTCCTACATTGTCGTTTAATGTATCTTCATTGGTCCAATTTGTGCGTTCCTGAAAATTAATCAGGTATCAAGCCCATTGTCTGTTATTGATGAGGTAAAGATAGTAACAAGATATATGCACTGACACAATGTAATTGAAAATGTCAAGCTTCAAACCACACTGAATCTAAGTGAAGCATTTCTTTGATACAAAATTTAGTAAAAGGAGACAAGATACCTTGATATTACGAATATGCAGGTGACCTGCCCGAATACCTGTATCAAAAATTGCCATTTTGACTTTAGCACCAGTAACCCCTTTTGACCAAAGTTCATGTGCCCCCAAAGGGAAGTGACTTGAGATTTCTGCAAAATAATCATACAGGATAGACAAAAACAAGTTTATTAAGAAAATGTAGGGAACAACAATGTTCAATGTATAGAGCAGCAACATCATACTCGGTCACTCAAAGAATGCACTCAAAGCTTTTCAAAAAGGAAGTTAACTTTGTTTTTATCCTTGAGTGCCACCAGGAAGAAACAATCAATTTGAAGTTATGGATACGAACACTCATTCAGGAAACTTACATAAGAAAGAAAGCAGAAGTAGGGAAGAGTCAAACTGCATATCACAGTTCTTATCCCTCCAATGACCCCAAAACAGCACAATAATATGATTCTGATTATTGACTTTCATAACCAGACCTCATGTGTAGATGTTTTTGATACCAAGTAGGACAGCTACAATTCGTTCAACAAGCAAAGGAATGGCCACACCAACATATAGCCCATGATGAGACACATGATGTGTCTCTAGCAAAGCTTTGAGCTAGTTTTCTAATGGAATGCCTGCTTATATGTAAAACCTTTGTTTCTGCTAAATGCTCTTTGGAAGAGCCAAACAAGAGCAAAGGTAGATGATAAAAACACAATTATGGTTGAGGAAAGCAAACACATATACCATAGAAAAACGACAAACTTTACTTTTTCCTTATAACAAAACTTTCACATATAATTTTATGACGCATCCAAATGATAATCTCCACCACAGAATTCTATAAAAATAGTATGTACAAAAAGCGCTAGCGATCCTTCAAGACAACCTTCAAACACTTGTCCGACAAGATTTTCCGACATCTTTTGGGTAGAATTTCAACTTTTTCAAGTAGTTCAGGGTTTGGCATGACTCACAATGAAGTTACTTGAATCTGTGAATTATTTGGTGGTTTATGTCGCTGACATAGTTGTCATTGACAGTGAAAAATACTAATGATACATCTAAGACCTGGCAATTTTTTGTACTTTCTAGGCATCAACGTTGTGCAAAACAAATCAGGTATTGTCATTTCACTGCCTAAGTATGCCCTGAAAACCTTGTAGACATAAAAATGACAAATTATAGACCGATTCACACTCTTAGATCTGATTCAAGCAAGTTAAAGTGAGGCTCTTATGATTTAAGGATATATATGCAATTCTAGTTAGAGGTCATTTGGTATCTTGAAAGAGTAAATAAACAAATCATGGTTGGTAGATCCAGTGCAAAAGCAAAATATTGGGCCATGGCAGAGAAAACTTGCAGAACTGTATGGATCAAAGAGTCACTCAAAGATCGAAACTTACAGTGATCAATAAGATGGAATTTATGTGCAATAATCAAGTTTCTCTTCCTATTTGCATTTGGTGTGTCATGAAAGAATTAAGCAAATAAATGAATTGTCACTTTGTCAGGGATACGATAATCTCATAATCTCAGAAGACATTCTCGCGAAGTTCTTGCTCAGATTGTAGATATATTCACAAGTTCTGTATGTAGTTACATATGTCACTACATATATGGACGGGCTAGAAGGGGAGTGTCGGATAGTCAAGTGCAGATACGTAAATGTAAATAGTTGTGCTTCTTATAAGTGCCCCACTTGAGAAAAACAGCTACGCATTGTAAATTGAGCCCATAAAAGGAATCAGTCATAATACATTAGTATTCACGTATTCTCTAATCTTTCTCTTATTTTTTTTCGATCGGAAGTCTCAAATCAAGGAGAATTACCAGAAGAATAGACACTTGATAAGACCAAAATAGGAAAAGGACAAAGACAAAAGGTAACTAAAAGAAATTAATTTCCTATGAACATTTACAGTGCAACACAGTTGACCGCATCATAGACAAATACCAAAGGTAACCGAAAGAGATTAATCTCCTATGAACATATACAATGCAGCACAGTTGACCGTATCATATGTTATAATCACAAAAAGAAAGATAGCATGCATTCCAACAACATAGATTGCCAGTAAATTATGCATAACAAAGCACAATAACATTAGATGTCTGTTCCAGCTAATCTTCAATTTACTAGTGTTGGCCACCGCATAGTTTTGATCTTCACTGAAAGACATAGCAGTAAACATCTTCCCAGGCCTTTTCTTCCCATTAGCAAAAGCCCCAATCTTCTCTTCAAGAACTATCCTTTGATAGCTCAAATCCAATGAAACGTCTTTTACAAGATTCAATTCTATGAACTTTTCTAGCAAAAGTTCTTTCACTGACTCATCAATTGCCACCAAACCAAAGTCAGTAGGAAATCTTGCAGCCGGATTTTTCCTCTCAATCCATTCAGCTTCCTTAAAATAATAGAATCGAACAATATAACAGATTGTTGCTTCTGTTGATCCTGCCAGTCATCAGAGCCGCTAGCAATAAATGGCTCAAACTCTACTGATTCAGGCATAATTAGTGTTCGGCATTGAGGAAACTTCGGGAGGTGAACGAATAAAGATGAGTCAAACCGGATGAGTGTATACACCAGAAGCAAGGGGATAAGAGAGAAGGTGAAGAATGATTTTTTAGGAGTTTCAAGAATGATTATATTCCCATTAGAGCAACGAGGTGTAACCAAAGCCCAAAGGTTTTAGCCTATACTTGAGCACAATCAAAATTCTGTAATCTAGTTTGCCCTTATACTTGAATGATAAAAAATTGCTATAATTGGAACTTCCATATACCAATCCTCAAGGGTCCACCTGCTTCAGTTGATGCATGTCCTCAGCTAACAGTAAAATCACAACCTATGATAAATACTCAGCTTGTAACAAGGCCTGCCTTCTTGAAGGTTGAAAAGAGATGCATCATTAGCTTGAGATAAATTCAACTGAAAAAGAACTAAATTCCATAACAAGTGATCAAATGAGAAATTAAAACAATCCAGTGCTGGCAGCCTGGCAATAAAAGGTATCTCATGGCCTTATTTTAAAGGTATCTTAAAAAACAAAATATGATGAAAAAAAGGTTCAACCTTTGGTAATTAAACAAGACATACTCGTAATGTTAGGCATTTGACCAAAATATTAAGGCAAATAAATAAATCTGCACAGTAACTAAAGTTCCATCCATAATTCAGATAACATCAACAACAACATACCCAATGTAAATCCTACGAGTGGCGTCTGAAAAGGGTAGAGTGTATGCAGATCTTAAAGAATTTGTTTCCCATAGAAAATGGATAACATAATTTGAAAATTGAAACCAGAATGTCATATGCATTTTCACAAAATTTTGGACTTTAATGTCACACTACTTTTCACGGCAATCCATCATTTCATGGACTAGTTTCTCGAAAAATAAATCATCGATAAACCTTGTTATGAGTCAATTTTATTTATTTTTTCCTTTCTTGAGCTTCAATTGTGAACGATTGCACAAGTTATAAGAATTATTTTAATAATGAAAGCAACAAAGTACAAAATGATCAAGGAAACCCTGACGAAGAGAGGTTGAAAACTTACTGACAAGTCACAAGTTTCCCCAATTGATGCGCAAAAACGGAAACAATTCGTTGAAACGTACAAAAAAAAGGTCTGAGTTTTGTAGAATCGGAGACGACGATGGAGGGTGACAGTGAAGACTGAGCCTTATAAAGTGAGTAAGAATTTAATATGAGCAGTCTCTTGATATTCACAGGCTTATGCGTATATGCAACTTTTTTTCTTCTTTTATTTTATGGTATCCAACTTATTTTATCACATTTTTAAAAATTAACCAATCATTTGAAAAAATTACAATATCCTTACCTTCTTACAACAATAATCATTACCTTCACTTTAGTTAGATACATCACTTAGGTAATGTATCATGTAGGATGTATTCAGATTCCGTTAAATTCAAGAGATTTGTGTAATTTGAAAAAAAAAGTAAAATTTGTCTAATTTGAAAAAAGAATAGAAATATGATATATTAGCTTTTAACACTGTGAAATTTGAGTAAATTCACCTTCTTTCTAATATCGAATCATAAATTTCAAAAATTGTGATGTTACACTCCTTTCATCCCATTTTAACTATGTTTTAATATTTTCAAGCCAATTAAAAAAGCAATAGATACAAGTTATAGTTTATTAAGTAATCTTTATTCATTAGATTAGAGATTTTTCAAGAGTTGAGCAATATTAAAAAAAATTACTTCTTTAATGTTAAGAATATAATTTAAAATAATTATCAATTTTAATAACAGATTCTTAAAGTAACAACTATTTATTTATTCTAAAGCCATATTTAAAATGGAACAGAGGGAGTAAGATACAAATGCTAACGTTGCTCCCTGTCAGTTGGTTGAGTCCATGTAACAGATATCATTTTCAGTTACCTCCAGAAATGAATTCAAATGTTTTTCACACTGGTTTCATCTCACATAGTATTTATCTAAATCATATACTAATACATTTAGAATAATATTTTTTCATTTAGATATAGAACACACAAAATAAGTAAGAAACCGCTACCCTTTGAGTGTGCACAAAGTAAAACCATTGCTCCTATGCAATAGCTTACAAAACACACGGGAGAGGTATCCTGGTGCGATGAGTTCGACCAAAGGGCAATTTCCTTACTTATGCTGACAAGGAGTTTGAAACTTGAGACCTCCAACGTGAAAGTCCCAAACCCAAACCAGTGGGCCACCCCAAAGGGGATTAATTTGAACATACTTTTTAAGACAATAAATATGAACTTAATAGAATAATCGAAATTCCAGTACAATACCTAGGATCAAAAACTGTTTGTTCACAAACTCAAGATTAGCTAATAGCCTGTTACATGCTTGAAAGTATTTTGGCAAAAAGGACAACCTAAGATCTAGGCTTCTCTTTCTTCTCCTTGAAGAGAGCCAAGAGAGAGACACCAGAAACCTTCACAACCTTGAACCTGACACCAGGAATATCTCCCACGGCGTGCCCCTTACGACCAAATCCAGCGATCAACACTTCATCCTGCAATGTGTCAAGGGTCAGAAACAAGAAAACTGACAAAATTTGAGAGTCTGCCTGAGAAAAGAGAAAAGAAGGAAAGGACGTACGTTTTCTTCAATGTAGTTCAAACAACCATCATTGGGGACAAAGGCAGCAATCTTCTTCCCGTTTTTGATGAGTTGAACCCTAGCACATTTACGAATAGCAGAATTCGGCTGCTTAGCTTCAATACCTCTGCACAAAACATTCCACCAAATTTGAACATTAGAGCAAAGTGTTAATGCTGCATGGCTTGGGGGATAGTGTAAGCATAAACGTCATTAAGTGGACCTACATCTTCTCAAGCACAATGCCTTTGGCATGGGATGACCCAGCAAATGGCTTCTTCCATTCGTTCCCAAGATGGGATTTCTTGTAGGACTTGTCAGCCCACCTTTGCCTTCTACGGTGGGACTTCAGCTTGCGTCCAGCTCCCATACCACGTGTCTTCCTGCAAAATTTTACCCACAATGACATATATAGCTTATATGCGCAAAATGGCTGAAGATGCCCTTTTAAACAAATACCTTCTAAAGTATACAGAACACTGCAGATATTACTTGATGCTGTACCATGACAAATCATAGGAATCTAAAATGAACTATCATCCAATGCAACACAAATATAATCTTACTGGGCAATGATCTTCCCTCTCAACCACAAAATGTGTTAATCAGTAGCTTAGGGTTTATTCTTCATACCTTATCAAAAAGAAATTTGGCAGAATACATTGGGACCTCCTAAACTTGACACATTCTATTTAGTGCACACCTAGAATTGCAGGTTGATCTAATTACCCCCTTAAAGTTGGTATTTCAATAGCCTTGACCCCCTTTATTAGCCGCCTTGCATAGAAACTATTGAACTATGTTGGGTGTGTGGGAGAGTAAATATATAGTGTTACTGTATATTTACTCTCCCAACACGTCCAAACATAGTTGGAATCTACTTTCTATACTAGCTCATTGATAAAAGGGGTCAATTATTGAAATATCAAGTTTGTTTGTTTCTTTGAAAAGCAACTAGGCCAAACGTGTCTAATAGAAAACCGGTAAGATAAAGTAAAATAGGACCATAGATATAGAGAGAAGCATGTAAAGATTATTATTATAGTTAATTTCACTCGACTTGTATACATCATAGAGCTAAATGCTTTATAGGAGACAATTTAATAGATAATGTAAGATTATACAATTTTATGAACTATATAAAGCTTACACGTGTATATTAAATTGTCTCCTTAAATGGTTTGACCTTGTGAAGTTTGAATCTAAGTAGGGTGTAATAACGTTCACAGCCTCTTTGGCCATAGATAATATTCCAAATATTTGAAATAAATTTGGAGATTATTCAAATAAGTGTTTGTTTATAAAAATGCCTCATTATTTCAACATCAAAAGTTTGAAAACAGGACTAAATTGACTCATTATAATCAAGTTCCAAGAATTTCATATCTTTGCACACAAAACTTCAACTATATTTTCATGTCCGAGACAGTCCGACACAACTTCAACTTCCAAATACCCTTTTCGACCTCACCTTTAAATACTACTATTTTCAATTTACAACCAACTCATGTACAAACTCCTACTTAATGTCTTGGTGATGCACTCATTAAGGTATTTAAGAAAATTTAAAAAATGGGAACAGTATTTACCTGCTATAGCTATATATATATATATATATACTATTACATGATTTTGCTAACCTACTACGTCAGTCTATGAGATTAGCACTCTCTCATTCTTTTATTTCCTTAAATGGACTTACTATTTCTTGCAAATTCAGCAAAAATAAGAACTTTTTTGTGATTTCAACCCAAAATACCATCTCTTATAACAATTCCCCCATTTCATCTCCAAATTTAACAATCCAAAGTTCATTCTATCCCCTTCTCTCTCATTGTTCCTAGATTTCTCTCTATTCCTTTCACCTAAATGTCTTGAATCTGATTTGTTGATGTCTCTTCATGTTTATTTCTTAAACCAGACTTGAGATATTAATACTATACCAATGGAACCATGGGAAACAAAGTGGGACAATACACACTCCTAACTCAATTTCAATCTCTACATTTCTTGTTATATATTCTACGATATTATAACATAATTGGGATTTTCATGGTGAAATTGTATTCAAAATCCAGTTTTTCTTTATTACTTTCAGTATCAACAATCGTTGCAATGAATTTAACCCATATTTGAAATCCATACTAGCCCCAACCTTATACTGAACATTTCATGCCATTCTTTTTCACCTAAAAATGCATTATGACACATAGGAACAAGCAATTCAATCTGCCATTTTTAGTTCCAGCACAGATCTAACGTAATTAAACACTTTCCATATCTACAACTTACAAATTACAATATCAACTACTTCTAGATATTAGATACTCAATAATCACACATCTATTTTAGTAGTTCATGATCATTCTCATAGACAAATCATCAATTCTCATAGACAATTCACTCGGTACAATTAAGAGTTCAAATCGAGCAGCTAGAATCAGATTCCCATAACAAAAAAACACGAGCAAAACTATCTTTAACTGTTTTACTTCCATAATAGCTGTGAATACATAAATCAAAATGGAAGAAAAAAAAGAAGCAGAAATCATACCCCATGTTTGCTGAGTGATAGAGAACTCCGACTTCAGCTGTAGTTTGATATGTTGCTGATGAAGAGAGGCAGCAGCCTATTAAAACCCTAACCGGTCTATAAAAGAGTTCTCGGATTGGGCTGCTTTAGAAGGAAGTTGGGCTCAAAGAACTTTGGGGCTTCTGCTTAGGCCCATAGGATATGGCTTTTATGACTTAGGGGTGTACATGACCGAGTTAGTTCGAATTTTTCAAATATCAAATCAAATTATTTATGTAAAAAATATTAATTTATAAAACAAATCAAACTAATAAAATTTGGATTTTTTTGGGTTTTTCAACCTCAGGTTGGTTCGGGTTTTTCAAATACCAAACCAAACCATTGTGTCAAATTTTTAAATTTATAAATCAAACCAAACTAATAAACCTCGGATTTTTTTGGATTTTTCGATAAAGTTTGCATACAAACATATAATTAACTTGTGCTCCAAATATTTCTTTAGTCCAACCAAAATACAATTATCTAAGGTGTTTCTTAAAAAAATAACACAAAATATGAAATGAGTACTGATGACACTAACATATTCAATAAAAAATAATAATGAAATCATCATATAAAATAAATATTGCAAATTCATAATGAAAATGATCATAATTTAAAAGTACTAACTCATGCTAAAATAAGTTTAATAAGTATTAGTTACATTACTAAATATTTAAGGGAAATTAAAATTAGATTATGTATTTTAATTGTCTAAATCAATGTAAAACTAAAGAACAAATATTCAATATTATTGTCATTCTTAGTGTTGAATTGATTATTTTTTTTTGCATTAGTATTAATTTGATTTTGATTTAAGTTTTATTATAATTATCAACATCTATGAACTATAATCTTTATTGGACCATTTCGAATTATGACAATATTATTTCAAGTTTAAAACTTAGAATTCGGAATAGTCCAATAAAGATTATAGTTCATAGATGTTGATAATTATAATAAATAAAATCTAATTATAGTTCGGTGAGAATTGAGGGTGGCGAGCGAGGCGAGAATGACAATGTGTTTGCTACGAATTACAATTAAATGAAATTGTAGCTATAACATTTATTTTGAATTAATAGTTTGTTATAATGCACAATTTTCCCTAAAAAAATTGTGTAAATATGACCATAAATTTAGAAATACTTGCAAAATTAGCAATAACATCTCAAGAAAATGTTACTGATGAAATACGTAGGAATAATAAACGTTTTTTTTTGTTAGATCTTTATTTCAATTGATTGGATGCTTGAGCACTCTATGATTTTTATGAGTTCTTTATTTATAATAGGAGTAATAAAAAACTATTCAGAAAGCAACTGAGGCAGCAATAGTACATGCAAGTGAGATGATCGTTATTTCTCTGAAGATAACTATTCTTGCTTAATGATTCTACATCCATTCTTGAATATTATCGAGTACTATTATTTCTCTCTAGTGTTATAATGTTGACATAATCTGGATGGCCACATTTTCGTATTCAAAACATTATCAAACTTGTTTGATACCGCATTTTTGAATTATGACCTCATGACGACTGATTTTATACTATCTATAAGATAATGAATAATTAATCTATATAGTAGTCGTATATATTTGTTCATTCCTCTTTTGTCCTTTCTTGTTGTTTAAATAAATAACCAATGTAACATAAAACTATTGTTGGTTTTTATTCATTTTTCTGATTTATTGTAACATCAACCTTCACTAGAGAACATTAGGTTATATTTTTTCTAAATCAATCAATTTGATATTGATATAAAATTAAGAACATATATATTCCAATTTTCATATACATTGAAATTGAGGTTAATTCATAAGCTTGCATATTGTGCATGTTCTGTGATGTTTTAGATTGGGGCCCTTTTCCGGACTTGCTAACGCGGGATGCTTTGTGCATTAGACTGTCCTTTTCTATTTTTATGTTATATTTTAGATGAATTACAGTTGATAGATTTTTAATTCACAGCTGAAACAAATAATATTATCATATGAAAAACCATAGATTTCCATAATTATTTCTTGTTGGTGTTGAAGGTTAATTAAAACCACAATATGTACACACAACAACAACACTAGACGAGTTTATTGTATATATGCAAATAGATCAATTCTAACTTTAGGGGTTGTTCGGTACAAAGGAAAATGTTTTCTTAAAAAACAAGTTAATTTCTTACTTATTTTCTAGTAAACAACAAAATTTTATTCCGACAATATTTATATGTAATCTAGCAAAACACTATAGAGGTGCGATGGGTGGGGAGTGGGGTTCGTGGTGTGGTGGGATGGTCAAGGAGTGGGAGTTGGGGGCGTTGGATGGGTGGGGAAGAAACAATGAACTTAGAATGACACTTCTGGAGTCATTTTCAAACTCGTTTTCCAAAACATTTTGACCAACCAAACTTGAAAAAATTGGAAAACATACCGAACAGGCGAACACACCCTTAATCATGTTTCTTTGCTCTACACCAAGAATTTGGCAACTGAGATCATACAGTGTTCTTAATTTCAAATAGCTATACAAAAATCTTCTATGAGATTCATAAGGTGTAGAGTAGATTTATTAACAGAAAAACTGGAAATGTAAACTAGACTGTTATCATCAGGCAAATCAAACAACGATTATTCGAAAGCAACTTGCAACTATATGCTTCTACTTCTGGCCTTTTTTCAGTAAAACACCAATCTTTTTCAACATGTTTCCATTCTTCTTCTTAGGCGAGTCATCATCTGTATCTTCAGATAATGGCGAATCCAGCCTAGTGTGGTAATCTAAAGGACCTGTTCTCTCCGTGTATTTCCCATTGTTTCCAGTTGAAAGCATAGCTGCAGCTGCCTCAGCAGCCTTCCTCCACTGATCAGATTGCACTTTTAACCTCCTCAACTCTGCTTCCATCTCAGAGTTGGCATTCTGTGCTGCATCCAACTGCTCGGTCACGCGTGCTGCCTTTCTAATACTATTATCCGCTTCCTCAGTCAAGTGTCCTAACTTCACCAATGCCTCTTTTTCTGCAGTTCTCGCGGCTTCTGCCAAGGCTAGAGCTGAATCATTCGCTTTGCTACCCTCAGTTTCCCTCTTCTTCATTTCGGACATCAGTATCTCATTTTCTTCCTTTATACTTTGCAACTCCGTCTCTTTGTCGAGTAAACTTGCTCTCAATACTCCCAAAGTTGACTCTGATTCCTTCAGTACAGCATCTAATGTACTGAAATGCTTATTTTCGTCTGAAATGCTTCGTAGTGTAGCTTCTTTGCTAATTAATTTCTCCTTTAACTCTTCCAAGTCAGTTTTTGTAGCCTCTAACTTTGCCTCCCATTCAGCCTCTTTCTCTATTGATTCAAATTTTGATTGTTCCACTAGCTCATAAGCACTTCTAATCTGCAAAGTGCTCTGGATATATTCTTCCTGATATCTTGTCTCCGAAACCTCTAATGCAGCTCTTAGTTGACTTACCTCAACTTGTAGATTACTCAGCTCGGTTTTGAGTTCCTCGGCTTCCACATTAACTCCGTTTTCTTGTGCAGAGTTCATGTTTTCGATATCTTGAGCACTTTGGAGTTCACTGACAAGTTCCTCCAATGTAGCTACTCGATTGTTTGATTGTTCTAACTCCAACGACAAGGATTTGTAAGCCTCCATTGCTTTCAGACCTTCAGAACGTAGAGTATCCTCGGTCATCTTTGCCACTTCCAGCTGCATCTGTGCTTTACTCACTTCTTCAAGCGCGCAAGCCTCAGATTCCTTGCTATCATTTAGCTGATCTCTCAATTTTTCGACCAATGTAAGTGTTTCCATAAGTTCTAACCTTAAGCTTTGAATCTCAGCATAAGCTGATTCAGCATGTCGAGCTTGATTGGCTTCAGAATCAGCCACGCGGTCCAGCTGAATTTTAAGCTTCTGGATTTCATTCATAGCAGAACCTAAAGCAGCAGAGTCGAATTTGTGCTGCTTCTGGACAGCCTCAAGTTCAGATTCCCATACTCGATCTCGATCCTGTGATAGCTTGCGTAGCTCCAGGATTCGATCTTCCTCAGATTCTGAGAGTTCAAGTAGTTGTTTCTCAGAGTCCTCAAGCTGCTCCGACATAACTGTTAGCTGCTTCTTCGCTTCCTCTGCCTCTAGTTGAGCCCGTCTTTTTAATGATTCGGATGAATTGAGCTGATCCTTTACCTTCTTCAGCTCCTCTTGAAGTTGAGCAAGCTGAGTTTCCAAGTCGGAAACTCCGGTTGGATGCTTCTTCTGTTATACAAATATGAACAATGAGTACCTTAGTAACATTTTGAGGACCTTTAAGCAGTAAGAGAGCAGCAAAGAAATAATAAAAGGGCAACTTGGTGCACAAAGCATCCCGAGTTAGCATGGTCCGCGGATAAGAATAGAAAGATAATGCTGTAGATTATGGAATTTAAGTTTTATAAATAGAATAAGTTTCCATCAAGTACTGCAACAAGTGCCTCAAACTAGCTACTCAGACGCGAAACTGAAAAAATGAAGGGAATAGAAAGAGTATCCGATTTAGTAACCGTGCTATATATCTTCCACATAAAGAGAGGCATGAAGCACTCTATTTAGTGACACTGCCATAAATCATCCACAACAAGAACAAAACAGTTTCAGTACAAAGACGTGAAGGTTTTTTTTACGCTTGCTGGGAAAAAATAGCTATATTAAATGGTCATTTCGCGAGACAAAAGAGTTAAAGCATAACTGAACATGATAGCTGCCAATTTATAAGAATGAGACAGTACAAGATTAATAGGATAAAAGTTGTAACAAAATGATACAGAATTGATAGACTTGTCCTAGTTGCAGAAATTTTTGTGAAAAGTATTTAAGTTTCTTTACCTCTAAAGCTGGACTACGTGGAGAACGACGAACGACTTTAGGACTCCTCTCTTTAGGTGTCCTGGTAGCAGCATCTGATCCTGGAGTTTTGAGCTTTCGAGCTGTCTTTGGTGCTGCAGGAGATGTCCTTTGTGGCACCTCCACCGTAACATTCCTTCAGCCAAAAACACACACGAAGGTGAATAAGATAGGCAAACAACTTACAACAGACAAAAATCCAAGCAG